TGTTTAAATGTTTCAAGCAATCCCGTACAATCGTCGTCATTTCTTAAAACAGAATGTTCTTTTTAAAGACATTTTCAATTGTTTATTAACTTAATGCATGAACCAACAAGATTGTTTATTCGACTGGATTGACATAAAATTTACTAAATTTACTTTTCTTATGATTAATATAATCGTTTGAACATTTTTGAGTTATTATCCAAATAGTTTAAAACATTATTTATTTATTAAAACCAATAACTTTTATATGTCAAGAGTTTTAAACGAGATCGTTCGCAAACCACTAGTTTACTGAACTACGGTACCAACCACAACAACTTAAAGGGTCATAAAAAGAAGCGCATTTGAAATAAATATCATCTTTATTGGTAGGTACGGTAGTCGTAAATTATATTGAAACGGCTTTATATGGATTTTATAAATTCGTTTCAGATGAAACGTTATAACTCGTTACTATACAAGTTCATTTTGAATAGGTATAATGTAAACAAAATAATTAATTAAATAAACCTTGAATCATATCGAATTATAGAGGCATAGAGCAGGCTTTAAATATTATTTACTATACAAATCTACTTATATACTTTAATACTATGATATAGTGCCGGTGATTATTTTAACGTAAGCCAGGCAATATCAAAATATTCAAAAAATAAAATTCAGTACATTTCCTTATGGTTTTAACTTCGCAGGATTTTGATCTTACATAACAAATTTAAAATTCTTTAATTTTTCTTAGGTATTGGGATATTGCATGATTCGCACGATAAATTATCACCCCGGATTCCCCCCCCCCTCTCGGCCTGAATTTTTTTAATTAGTCCTTACTTATTTGATTATTATTAAAATTAATATTTTTTTGTCGCTTCTTTGTCACCTGCTATCAATCCTGATAGCCTATTTTACAATAAATTGGACACAACGCGAAACCACACTCATATTATCGCTCAGCTAACTGCGCTGGCGCATGTCCAAAACCCTAGGGTAATTATAGACATGGTGCACTACACATACACACACACACACACACACTATATGTACAGTATACATTATACATACACACACATTACACATGATATGCACGTCCACATTCGGTGGTCCAACGACGTTCGTGCTCATCAACGCATACGACTGTCGTTATTCTCTGGGCGCGAATAACGTCGTATAATATTACAATAACGACTAATAAATTGTTGTTATTATAAATATTATAATTATTATATTATCATCATCATCGTACGCAGCTCTGCCTCGTCGACGAACTTCGAAACTTGAGCCAAGCCGACTTGGAACGAAACATGGAGGCGCTGTTGGAGGAAAGGATTCAACTGCTGCAGGACCGCATGAAAGCGATCACTGCGCAGCGAGAACAAATCGAACAAGCTAATCGCGGGCTAGAGGAAGAGCTCAACAAGTAAGTTCAATCGCTCATTGTCGTGTACACGCGCCTACACACTTAACAATAGGTATTTTTCCGAAGGTTGATCCCTTAATCCCAGAGATGACCGATTTGGTGGACAAAGAATTTAAAATTTTTCCTTTAAGATTTAATTGAATAGAATTAAATTGATATTGGTGCAGGATAATGTTAACTTAGAGTTCGTGCAAAACGACTAATGCGATAGTGTTATTTCTATTATTAAACAACTACGTATAACGACGATAACGCTGCGACACAGTTTCATGTCTGATTAACAACGTATGTAATTGACAATAAGGAATAGGAAATGAAGAAATATTCATTAATTATATTTTATTTCACATACGTTTTAGATTAGTGTGAATTTATTTTATTTTTCAATTTTTCAATACTTTATATAATACTTTTGTGGGCCGTTGAATAAATTATCGCTTGCCGCGTAGTTGGACTTGCTCTTTGTGCTTAATTTGTGTCCACTAGGTTGGCATTTAAGTGACGATGACATATTATGTATGTATATGCAAGTAAATGGTCGTCAAATTAGCCGATAGAAATGAATAATCCGAGAACCGTATATACTATTATGCTTAATCGACGAGAAAAAAAACTGCAGTTATATACAATAAATTGATCATACGTTCGATAAGGATCACGTGGTTCTTTTCCCATACATAAATAACACAATATTTCGACGTTCGTATACTGTAATATATTGCACGCGGTGTAGCATACTTCCAGGCAGTTTAATAAAAGTGCTGCAGAGCCGATTACTACACTGCACAGCCTCAGAATCAAATGTTTATTGAGTTTTGCGGTATAGGATATTGAGTTTGAAAAATAATATATTTCTTTATAGGTAAACCGTAAAATAATATTCGTACAAATATAATGTTCCAAATAAATATGTAAATAATATTAACATCGTAAACCTGCCATGATGATAAAACGTAATGATCGTCCAATGTGCCTACCCTATATGTACGAACGCTTTTAAAAATGTCCAACGGATTTTCCATTCAAATAGAACTTTGGCCCGATTTCATCATTTCATAGCTACCTACTATAGTGATAACTACTGCTAGTAATTAAATATAATATAATTGATATAATTATCAACGTTAATTCCTGTGTCCTGTCTACTCGTTGGCACTTATTTAAATATTATTATTATTACTACAGTGTTTTCGTAAACAGGGAACGGGTTTTTATCGGATGTTAACTACAATAATAGGAAGGCATAATTTTCCTATGATAAATGTAGGTATGTGCATTCATATATACGTAGATATATAATTATAATATCGAATTCACGTCACACACAACTTTACAAGTAGAATCTTTTTCGAAATTAATTTTCTTGAATAAAGTAATTTATAAAAACCAAAGATCGTTACTTTCTAATTAAAACACAGATACCTACCAACTATATTGATTAAACGTCATTACCTTATGTCGTATTCAAAGTCCAAAATTATTACAGAACTATTTATCAGTTATTCTATACGTAATTTATCTGTATACGGTAAACCTGCTAGAATCTTACAATTTATTATTTATCTGGTATCTTTATAAACACATTATAGAGAACTAAATACAAACAAGGAACTCGTTCTAGTGCTCTACTGTATAATAGGTATCTATTGTAACACTGAATTGATATGTTATACATATTTGAATTTAATGACAATTATTTATCAATCATTGAATACGAAAAACGATGCTGAGCCGTTGGACGGTGTGTTTGCCTATATATTACTAAGTATATTTTATTATAAATTTCTATTTCTATTAATACAGTAGGTTGAATCTAATGCTATCAGAAACCAACCTCAAATAGTTAAAAATCAAATAATTGTTTACTGCCCTGAAAAATTACGATGAACAGAAAAATAAAAAAAACACATACATCATTGTGAAACCAATACTTTGTAGCTTCGTTTAGAATCTAAATTTTATGTTTATTACAAAATAATACAATTTCGCTATGGTATTCATCGTTGCACACCTACTTAAATACCGATGCGTAGTATTTCAGCAAGTACTGATAAATTGGTTCAATTACGATTTGCAAATAACAGTTAGAATAAAGAAAGAAAAGAGAAAAAACGACATTGTATTATTGTTGTGGTACCTACCTAACGAAAATGACACAGACGTGACGGGATTTATTCGAAAGTCTGAAGCTTTTAGCTCCGTTTAAAATCCCTCATTATTAAATTGTTTCAATACATATATTACAACAAATATGCAATGCAAAATGCTAAATAGACAAATTCCTGAATGTCTACATTTGAATAATCACAAAAAATTACGTTTTAAAAGTACCTAATACATTATACTTACGTACCCTTACCACCTTAATCTATCCAATCATTTATCATAGTAAAATGTCTCGGATGATTTTTTTATGCAAAAAGAAACATCACGATATCAGTTATGTTTTAGTTTCATTATTTTCCATTTATTAAATTAATAAATAAAATCACTTTACTACGTATCAATGAACTAAAATATTATAATATTATCATTAAGTCTTCGATATTATAAAATTATTTTTATTGTAGATAATGTATTTTAATAAGTTTGATATATGTACTTGAAAAATGAAACAACTATATTAATATCCTTATATTATTATATTGATTATATTATATTGATGTAATGTGTGCTTAAATAACACCATCAAGTGAATAAAGAAGTAAAAATAAATACAAATAATTTATTTGAATTATTTAATGTGTTGTTTTATTGAATCGGCGACAAGTTACTGAAAGAAAACGTGCAAGAGTTGAGGACAAAGACTTTAAAATAAGCTGTATAAGAGAATAACTAATAAAAAGTTGAAAAACAAATATTTTATTAAAACGCATATCGTAATAAATAAATGAAAGTATAAAATATCTATTGTTGTTGAAACAAACAATACATTTTGAATAATAGACTTTTCTTTAAATAAGAACTCAATTAAAAAATATTTTTTTAATTAACTTAGAAAAAACTATATTATTTACATAAATAAAAGTAATTTATGTTACTAAGAATCCTTATAGATTACACTACAATCATTAACTTAATCTTAAGAAATAAAATATATATACATACTATTACGGTATTACATAAGTATACAACGGTAACGACCAAACACATTTTATGAAGAAAAAATAATATATACACCTATATACAATAGGTAGTTACAATTTATATGTGACAAAATACAATTGTACTGTCAAAACCCTATTGTTTTTAAAAAATATAAAATATACCTAATAAAAAAGTTAATGAGCAAAAAAATAGAATACTGTTTTATAAGTTTAAATTTTTTTTTTTAATTTAGTACCTAGATTTTTACATTACATAACTATACCTACATGCGGTTAATACATAATATTAATATCACAATATTATGAGATATTACGGATAAAATGTTGAGTATATTCATGAATTATTTTGTTTTCAGGCTCAGTAAGAATTTTGTGAAAATTACGAACAATGTCAAAGTTACGGATGAAACAGAAGAAGAAAAGACGAATTAATCAGTTCGTTGATGTATTCAATTATATTAATTGAACTATAACAATAATTACTTAAAACTACTTTGAATTTGTTTGTATTTATTCAGTCTTCCCATCCAAATCTTCCAATAATCGAGGCACGCTTGTTTTGTCAGTTTAAAAACATTGGCCGGATGACCGTCGCTATACGCGACGACTACTAATCCTTCTTCAACCTAAATAAAATTGCATAATATATTAATAATTGTAAAAGCTTTTTATACGGCAGCGCATCTCTACAGTAATTAGTACTATCACGATACGTATATAGACGAGAAGATCGTTGCTTAAAAAAGGTATATGGATAACCTTGCAAAATGTATTTCGTGTAGGTATACCTATAATAACAAGTATATTACACAAAAACAATTTCCTTGTAAATTGTGTAAATATATACCTACGACGAAACTTAAATAACGAAAGCTCTGTTCACGCCATACAGCACCGCCTATATCTCCAATATCATAACCACCTTAAATTACGGCTATTTTTTGGTCCCAGAGATTTTTTTCAACGTCCGAAAAATGTATCACGGAACACGCGTATAATATGGCGAGCAATCCACTAAATTTTCCCCGGGGTCCATAACTCACTCGAAAATAAAGTAGGTGTATCGTGTACATGGCGCGTATCATATATTCTATTATGCCAATAACAACAACACGCTCGAAAAGTACCGAAAAAAAGTTGCGTTTCATAATTAATGTTTTATAATAGTAAAAAAAAAAAAATAATAATAATAACGTCTGAACATGAACACAACTTTGTAAAACGCGAATTTGGACAAAATCATCATCATCATCCATTATTTTTTATACATCGAAGTTTGAAAGTAACTGCGTATAATGAACCTATATATTATGTATATTGTATACATATAGTAAACGTAATTAATTATCAGTAAAAAAAAGGGTTTTTTCTAAAAATCTAAAAATAATTAATTCCAACAAAAATGTAGTTCAATGATTTACCTTAAAGTCATAGGAAATGTCGTTATTCACAGCTCCCATATAAGCTGCCAATTGAATAGGCGCGTCGTACGTCGCCTGCAAACTGGATTTATCACGTGACGACTTCTTCCATTCGATTACCACAGGAGTGTCTCTGTATAGACACGACAAGCAATAATTATTGCCGTTTAGGTATATGATTATCGATTTGAGGTATGTACGTTAAAAATACTGGTTTTGTCAGTTATTATATTATGTAGGTAATAACTAGGTAATATTATTACTTGTAAAACGCAACGCATTCCACGATGCCTCTGTACGACAATCCGTCGTGCACGACCATTTTTTCCACTAGAATCGGTTTCGAAACGTTTTTTAGAACTGCATCCAAACTTTTCCAACAGTTTTCTACTTCGTCATAATGGCTTACATCCGGCTGGTGGCCGGTTAAATGTGACTGTATTTTAGTATGCATAGCACTTCCCATGGCCATTAGTTCTGAAAATTGTACAACGACTTATACACTTATAATAATAGTACCTAATAGAAACGTTTCGTCCATAACGCTTCTGTTTGTATAAAACTTGCTTTTAAAATATGCTACAGGCAGGTTAGGTACCCACAATAAATTTTATACGAGACTACTCTTTGATGTGCGGTCCGCCTATAAAGTTTCAGTTAGTTATCCAACATATTTCTTATCAAAATATTATTTCTATTAAAATGTATACAAAATGATTTTTTAAACCATTACCAGCCATTGCTATAATAATAACTAAAATATTGTATCAATATAAAAATTAAAAAAACAAGTTGGGAAAGCTCACTCTGCGAGCGTGCTGAATTCCCGGTTTCTAAACATAATTTTAAACAACGCTTCCACAGTAAGCTATAATTCCATATTATACATTTTAAAATACTATATGATTTCCTACCTTATATTTGGTACCTATTTTTTTTTAATATTGGCGTTCTATGAATCTACATTAAATACTCATATTTTGATATTTTTTAATATAATACCTACTGGCATATGTCATGGTAAGAATTAACTTTGAATAAAACCACGGTTATAAGGTCTTAATATAAATAATAAGGAAACTACCAGTCGGACAGGCACAACGGGGATATATAAGATGTTTTAAACTTACGCTAAGAAACCTAAAAAGCGCAGATCACGCTATTATGGAAAAAAAAACTATAACGATGATGGACAAATTTTTTTTTTTTGTATTAATAGAATCATAGTTAAAAAATAAGTATTACATATGCATAATATAGGAAAAAATTATAACCAACAATTTTAGTAGCTGTAGTTTATTTCCATAGTAAAACGCGTAATCCACGTATAACCCATATTAACCAAATAATTAATGACCCAAACTTGAAAAAGGGTAGGGCATAAAACTCGCCGAAACCATAAAACTGACATATTTGTATCCCAGTTCAACCATAACAAGCCAAATAAATTGAAATACGCAATTTTTAAATAATTTTTTTTACAGCAAGCGTATGTAGAGCGGATATGGTTAGCAAGAATTAACTGATAAAAAAGAACCACTCAGCGGTGACACTTTTTGCTTCAGAAAAAAAATGCATTCAAAAATTCCAGCGACTTATTAATTTGTGCTTAAAACATTCCATCATTTCATATCTACAATTAAATGTCAGATGCAAGGAGGTACTGGAACCTAACCTACCTAATATCTGACGATTTGTAAGGGTACCAAGTATTTATAATACAAGTATAGAGAAATCATAGTCTGGGTTGTGGTTTTTATTTAATTCCTTTTATTATAATTCAGCTTAATCAATATTATCTAAAGAGTTTCCGGTATCGTGAAAAATTAAGTGATAGGTACATCGATTTTGTTTAGATTTCACTGAAAAATGAAGGGCAGTAGTACTTATATATTTAATTTTTATAACTGAGTACTAAATACACTTCCTATAGTGAATTCATTTTAATTTCATCTTTCTCATCTGAGAATAATTAATTGTAGATAATATAGAAGTACGATAAATATTCTATATTCTCTAAATCAAACTCGAGTGGAATACCAGGTAAGAGCACTGCAGCATTTCCTGTATAGTAAGCAGTTCTTGCATATAACGTACTTATAACTAGGTACGATCGTTCAAAACGAAATACTTAACTAAATATATAATGTGATGTGTGTATTTTTTCCATCGTTAACGTAATAATACCACTATAATATTAACTATAGTATTTTACCGTATTTTGCAAAGACAGCATTTTATAGACTGTCCTACTATAGCTATTTCAACTCTCAGATATTTCGCCGTCGTGTTTTCCCCAAATAAGTTCCGTTGGAAATAATCTCCGTCTCCAAGCCCCCTTTTTATGAGTATTTTCAAAGCCGACGAGACGATACCTGCTACAGCAGTTACAATTAAATTAAACGATTTTCCATTTGTGATTAAAACGACTCACACTGCTGCGCATATCGAATTATACTGCGCCGAATAAAACAGTGTTGAAATAGTTTTGGAACGCATTTAACACCTATACTGATCGAGATAATATTCAAGAGTGGCGCGTGTGTTATTCATGGACAATATTATTAATGTACAGATTAATATTTAATGCCCCCCCGTGGCATTATATTATTATTTAATTTCGTCAAACGGTCCGATTAGCCAAATACTACTGACGAGTGCCGCTGTAAAAAAAATTGTTTGATTAGAATTTAGAGCTCAATTCGCAACGTTCGTACAACTCTGAACTAACGGCGACTAGTTGAAGCAAATTTATTATGTATGATTATAATTATTCAGTACTATGGCAATAAAAGCTGGTAATGTCTATTGACTATACATTTTTAAGCATATTGAACTATATTGTTTATGCACTTATTTTAATGGCGTGAACAAATTTGCATTTTCTGTGGAATTTAGTAGATATATACCATTGGTACATCGTTACTTGTTTAGATTGTATACATTTCGTAGAAGTTATATAGCCATCGTGGATTTAATTCTGATTACCTATGTATTTACCTAAGTCCTATATTATATACCTACTATTATTATATATTATACAGCAATAAGAGTACCAATATATTATTATGAGTGCGACTCCACTCAGAATTCACCCCAGTGGGTCAATACCCACACCGGCGTTAAATTATAATAATGTTGAATAATAATGTGTGTATTGGTTTGCTTGTTTATGTAGGTCTGTCTGCAAAATTTTAACATAAAGCCGCTTCAAGTAAGTAAAACCATAAACTGTATAATGTATAACTAATAACTATATACCAGCGATATTAACTGAACTTTAAAATATTCCTCTTCAAATATTATAGAAGAATCATCCGATTTCTATAGGTAAAAAAATAATACTATTATTGAAACAAGAAAAATTGCCTAACTGTAATAAAATATATATCGGGGTCATTATTTCAAAGGCACAATATACAGTGCGAATTAATAGTAAATGCAATATAAAGGTATGCAGTAAAAAATTAATGACATACTTTGACGATTTATTACGAAAGTCTAGTCAATTTTATTTTACTTTTAAATGGTTTCGATAGTTTAATTAAAAATCTCGATATTCGATTAGGTTATGGGCACTAAATATTGACCGCTAATATCATATAGGTATAATAATTATTATAGTTCTCGTATATGTTGAAAAAATGTTCATAATATATAGTGTCTACAATATAATACATTTTACATTATTTTTATTAAACAGAATTAAATTATTTTGAAAAGCAAACTTTAGCTATTTAGTATATGGTATACACCGAGCAATATTCACCGGTGCATTATTATATTATGCCCGACAGTATATTAGATTTACGGCGTTAAATCGAATTTTCAAATAATAAAATTATTTTTTCATCCGATATCGGATATCGGGATCGAAAACAAAATAGGTATTATTAAATATTCCGTATATAAAATATAACGTATACATCTGCGTATAAATGCAATATAGAAGCAGTGGTGTAATTAGAAGGGGGGAGATGAAATTGAGGTTCTATCCCTTTTGAGCCCAGTCAATACAGTGTGATACACTTGTTATTTCAAATGCCTACTTGAATTTATAACATTTCATTAGAAAATAACGATTTCCCAAATTGTATAGTTCAAGCATGAGTATTGTTTTTGGTTTTTCTTCGACTAAAGTAGAAATATTTATTGATGAGCTGTTCAGGAGGCCATTATTGTTAGTGAGTTCACAGAGCAAAAATGAGATTTGCAAAAAATGTACCTAATGCTTTTCAAAACAATGAGTGTTCAAAGTTAAAAACAAGATAACTGTGCAGTGTGCATATTAATATATTAAAAACCTATAAAGTTTTTGGTACCTATAAATTATAATAATTATTATATCATTTTTATCTTATTCACTCAAATCCCATTTTCTGTAACTGAAAATAAGTAGGTAGTATAATATGTAATAATGATAAATGATAATATTATACATAGGTAGGTACTTTACATAATTAAATCGAGTAATCAGTAAAAACCCGATCATGAGAAAACATTAAAACTTATTAATATTCAATTCTTGTATACATTTTTATTCTTGTGATAAAAATGTATAAGTGAGATAGTACATTTTATGAGGATTTTTCATTTAGTTTAATAGTTCAATAAAATATAAAATAAAAAAAATCATAAAATGAATTTTAGTCAAAATTGAAATTCTACAAAAAACTTGAATTACCTACATAACTTAAAATATAAAATGTATACTTATATTTTTATACTACTAAGTTGGTATATATTTTTAATCTCACACATTTTTCTTTTTCATCGTTAATAGAAATAGAAAACAATTTATATTATTATAAAGACATTTTCCGAATTCTAAGCTGCCAATAAAATGTTTTTCTTTTCGTTCGACTACACAATAGTTAGAGCACTAATTCAGATGTAGGTATAGTACTTAAGTATAGCAGATACCATATTATATATTTTTTTAACCATAAAAAAGTTTAGTTGCTTTTTTAAAACACAAATGTTACCTCTGCTGTATTTATTAAAACCGTCTTCTCCCAGCTTTTCAATCATACTCTTTTTCCAATTTTCTAAAGCTGCTTTTGACTTCTCTGACATTGTGGTATTAAGAATGTTTGTTACCGAAGGTATATCACGTTTAGGGGTTTCGTGAATAATCATTTCGGATGGCATTTCAGCGGTGAGCTTTCCGTAGTATTCTTGGCTTAAATTCTGCTTTGAATCATTTACCATACTACTGATACCATCTATAAATTACATTGCATATCGGTAAGATAAACATTTAAATTAAAATGATGTGTTTATTGACGGCTGCAAGCAAGTTCCTCATACCTTCCATCGTCGGTTCGATCTGTGACTTTAAGCGATTAAGATAATTATTTTCTTTTTCCTTCTCGTCTACCACGATTTTGTCAGCGAGTTTCAAACGGTGTTTTCGCGTTTTGTTCGTCTCTAACAGATCACCGAATAGCAGCTTGGTATCTTTATTCATTTTTTTAAACACTGTTCCCAGATCTTTTTTACAATCAGTCGTTTTAAAACGTAACAAAGTCCGTATCCCAATCATATTTAATCCGATATGGTGACTTACAATCGTATAGAGGTCTAGGAATACAGCACCTACAAAACCAATTAAAACAACAAAATATTAAATAATTATAACGGTAACAATACACAGTTTATAACATAATAATAATTAAAAATCACAAAAAAACACAAAAAACGCATTAGTGCATTACATTCAAATTGTAATCAATGTATTATTGGGGAAATTCAAGGAAACAAATTAATTGTAAAAAACTAAAAAGAGTATCGGAAACAAAAGCAAATCGTATTTTTTTTCATAATTAATTAATTCAATTCTGTTATTTTGCTTGACGTAATGACGTTCCTTGTCAAAACTTACTACAAAAATGCAAAATTCAAATAATTTAAAACTTGAAATTATCCATGTATCCGTTTCTCTCCCCTCTATAGAACGTTTACGTAAAGTAACGTAGATTAAAATAATATTATATATTATATTTATAGTTTTTAAATTAAATTTGACGGACAAAATATGCTCGAGTTATCTACCTATATAGTTTGAAACTATTATAAAGAATTTTTAATATTTTAACTCTTAAGTACTGCTACAGCGAAGTTGACATTTTCTCAAAGTTTCATATTTTAAGTAGGTTAGGTTATAAGACATATTTAATATTTATCAAATATACCGGTTGAAACACGCAAGCACACATTATTTCAAAAATGATTGATGTTTTTGAAAAAAATTTTTTTTAGATTTTAAGTTGTTGAAAACAATATTATTACTATTTTTCATCATTAAAAATGTTTTAATTTATACTTTTTGTATTGCATTTTTAATTCATTATTACAAAGAAGAATATTTTTTGGGGAATTTCGATACATAAAAATCGAATTTCAGACGGGTACCTAGTTTATGCGTTATAACTTGTAACATTCAAAACTTATATAGGTATACCTAACTGATAAACTACTATACTTGTCCATAACTTGATTTTTATAGATCAAAATACTCCGAATTACATTCTACTACAGAATATTAAATTAAAATTGTATGTTGTCATTCTAAAGGTTAAAAATAATAAAAATATTGTTTTGTAACGAGTTGAAATGATTTAAAAGAAATATTTTCAAGAAAATTAGAGTTTTCTGAAATAATATGAGTGTCTTACGTTAGATGTATTACCCAGTGAGCCGTATTTAAGATTGACGATTGTATATACATACAACATACCTATAAGCTTGGTGAAACTAGAAACGACGGTCGACGAGTATAATCAAATTTAGGAGAATAAGTCGTTTACAATTTACAATATACCAAATATTTTTTTAAAAACATTAATTGATAGTTAATAGAATACTAAAATGTACATAGTAAAAATAGTGTTATCATTTTTTTAATTTTACAAGTTTCACAAATATGATTCGATTTTCAAAACCAAAATTGTTATTATAAATGTTATAACTCATAACGCCAAGTCCAGAAAACAACACAAGTAAATTTATGTGATTGGAACGGACAAATTATTAGTACTTACTACTTAGGTACTGATATGACGTATAAAAGAATTTTAAATTCATCACTCTCTTTAAAATTACCTATTAATGTCCAGTGTTTTTTTTTGAAACGTCATGATTTATAAGTTTTTTTTTTCATCTTTAAAACTTTACTAAATATTAAAAATTGCTCATTTATTATTATCAATAGGTATTTATTAGTAATAATAACTAATAAGTAATAAATAATACTACCACCATATCGACTAATAATTTATGCTACCATTTTAACCTATGTAAAATGAAATTTTACTAGACAAATCATTAATATGATTACTACAACCTACTTATACCCTATTTTAAATATTTTAAAACTCATACCTAACATTGTTTTTTTTTGATGATTATGTAACTACAATGTTAATATTATATTTTTGTAAACTTTACATCTCACTGGTTATTGAGAAATGCAAACAAAGAAGAATAAAACAGAACCAACCACCTTAAAAAATGTTGTACGGGGGTGATTTTTGAAAAAAATGTTCATAATAAATATTGATAACAATTTTTTAGCAGAAAAACTTAATTGTTAGATAACTATACTATATAATATCATTAGTAAGACGTTCCTACACTTATACGATGACCAAATTAATCATTCCAAGAGGAAAGTTGATTTTTAGTTAGGTAAGTAGGTACCTTAGTTTCGTAATAAACAAGGTGGCCACGATTATCCCTTGACCCTCGTCCTACAATCACCCCTAAACATTAAATCATTTAAATCGTTGTAAAAAAATAAAAATACAAAAACTAATTTCACCATACGAATCACACAAAAAAAAATTAAAAAGATAAAAATTCAGGCTCTAATTATTATTATAATACTATGCCTGTATTTCATACACGTGACCTTGTACCGAGCTGTACCGGCTATTTTGGGGTTATTAATCATAAATATTGGAAATATTGGTAAGCACTCGAACACTATAATATTAAGGGGATTGGAAGCGGCGATTTTCTGTCTTTATCTAACACACGTGCAACATAGGATTATAGACGTGTTCTATTTCCACCGTACCGATTAATCTAATGAAGCGATAAGAATTCTGAAAACAGATTTGAATTTGTCGTCAAGTCTACTTGAGATCGACTTTCCCACATTTTTGATTTTGTCCCACCAAAATCATAAAAACGATATATTAAAAATAGTAATTAAAAAATTTACATATTTCAATTTTTGGAGAAGTTTAAATCAAAAAATCAAAAATGTGGGAAAGTCGATCTCAAGTAGACTTGCCGACAAATTAAAATCTGTTTTCAGAATTCTTATCGCTTCATTAGATTAATCGGTACGTTGGAAATAGAACACGTCTATAATCCTATGTTGCACGCGTGTTAGATAAAGACAGAAAATCGTCGCTTCCAATCCCCTTAAGTCTATATCATAATATATATCTATAGTCTATATGTAGCTATACAATTTCCATGATACTTCATTTAGAGTATAAATTTAAGAAATATTTTTGTGGATAGACATATATATGTTATGAAATCAGAATTGTATTTACCTACATAATATGTTTACAACTGCAATATTATGGCCAATAACAAATTTATTCGACATTTGCATGACGTGTATACTGTATAGTGTATAAGTGTCGTGTACCCAAGTACCTATATATATATGGCTATTATTTTTTTTTGCTATTGTTTATTTTAAAATTAAAACCAGATGAATTTTCATAAAAATTCGATATATCTGTTAGTGTACCTATTTCTTTCCACCATATCAGGTTACAACATATTAAATTATTCATTCTGTGTGCGCATGAATCGCATCGGTAATTTTTATTCTAAGTTAATATTGTTTTAACCTCGTTGTTATTGCAGACACATAGGTACATAAATTATAATTAATGTGCAGGCGCGTCATTATTCATTCGAATGGGCATATTAGTATATGTAACCTACATATTATATGTACCTACATCATATATGTATATGAATTAATTATAATACATTATATAATTAATTACATATAATATATTAGTATACCTATATTGAACATTTAACTTATTAAAACTATAATTTGGGATTAATTAATAAGTAATAAAAAAATTAATATTTAATCATAATTTTGTCGGTCGCAAATTCGATATCATGCAGTCTTGGTGGTTCGAGTATGTTACCTATAATTAAATTAAAATTTTGAAACAAAAAAACCCATATTTTTTATAACAATGGCTAAAAAGTAAAAACCGAGTAAAAAATTATCAAAAAGGGAAACAAAAAAGTATTAATTTCGTTTTACTTAAGTTATGAAGTATGAATTATATGCCTACGTTACCTAGAATAATAATAAGTAGGTAATTCATATTTTATTTATGTATGACAAACATGTCCAGCGGACTTCAATTTATATAGTAAAACTACAATTAACACTGTAGACTGAAAAGTGTAGTTGTGAGCAATGATTTAAGAAATACTGGTCTCACATCAACAAACATAACGAGCACAATAATGTTCTTGTTCTAGGTATGGATTAGGTAATTATATAATATGTAGGTTTTTATATAAATTATAAATTTACGACGCGGATTACACAAAATTGCTTTGCGGCCCGAAGGTTGCCGACCCCTGATCTATATAATATTATACGAAGTGTTATTCGTGTAGCTATGTGTACCTGTTAGATGTATATAATATGTAATCAACTTATTTTTGTGCTCGATCGAGGGCACCGCAGCTTCACAGGTGGGCATATTATTATACATAGGTACGTGGTAGTGTTTCGGACACGCGAATATTATTAATTTCTGCAGTCTACTAAAAAACGATTTTAATAGACCATAATCGTAACATGTCTCGAAGTAGAGGTAGGTAGGAACCTATTTACGATTACAGCGATGAGGTTAATTCACGGCCAATAGGTAGGTGTTATCCGACAGCGCATACACCACACATTAAACTCATAATAAATTATTGTGTTTTGACTTTTCCAATAAATATGACTTTTTTTGTTTTTTCGCCTACGAAAACATTTCAGCGACGTCCCTATCTTTAAACGTATGAATATTTTGTTATATGTAGTTATCTGGTTAACCTCACTAATATCGTCGGACGTCGGTTTTATGTCTACGCCGCCGACGCGATTTGCGATATATATATAGTACCTACACAGAGTATAATATAATAACGAAAATATCTGACGATTTACATACCTACCTAGTTTAAAGTACCAAATTTCGATGTAACACTGTCAAATCTCCGTGAAGCAAACTGTACTGCAATGTAGCCCAGTGTAGGACCTGTACAGAGGAAAGAGTCCGTTCGCCCACCAGTTATAAAAAGCACTGTTTCGACACATCTAACATTTAGGTACAATATACGAGTATAATCAACACTGACCAATTCGATGTATTATATATGTAATGAAATCCTAATGAGTAATGACCCGCAATTGTCATATAATTTTGTGTATAGGTACGTACTCTACGTGCAACGCAGAACGCTGGCCAACCCCTGTAGGCATATTAGGGTCGTTCTCGAGGAGGTTGTGGGCCATACCAACTACCTATATTATGTTTTGAGAATATCTATAGGAGAGAAGCAATGTTATTTTCAGATTCCAATATATTTTATATTTGTATATAGCCATATAGGTATAGGAATATAAATGATTTTTAGTCTTTTAGAACGTGTGCGAGTGAGTTGGTTTCTTTGAGTGACGACTGTGACGTAATAAAGATTTTGAATATAAATACCTATCTAACTTATCTTTATTATCTATGAATAATATATTAAGTAATTTATTTTATAACTACCGATCTATCGGTAATGTGCTCTGAAATGGTCAGGTGAGGCGAATCATTCCGTCAAAAAATAATAGGTACATTATATAATTATACTGTCCAAGTCCCATGATTGCAGTAAAATTTTTTTGAAATTTTTATCATTGAACCTATTGTAAATATAAAATTGCTACTTATACCATAGAACAATTATACGTTCCATCGTTTTCAATCGTTCCAAACATTAATTTACATTATATAGAAACATCAAATAAATATTTAAATTTTGTATACAATTATTGAATCATAAGACGATTGATGTGTGTATGATGTAAGTGTTTACAAGTTTGTTATTATACGTAGTTACTTGTTTATGTCTGTAATTGTTTTTAACCTCGCCAGACTTTATTTAATGAATTTATGGTCTGAAAGTTATTATTTTTTCTACAATGTTTAGATAGCTATAACAATATAAGGTATTTATTTTATACTTATATAATATACTGTCTAAGAAACTACGCGTATAGAAAGTATAATATACCTAGTAATAATGTATTTTTTCGCAAACTAAAAAAATTAAATACGATAAAGAACATGTTTGAATTCAAAAATCCTCAGAGGTAAATTTATAATTGATATCATCATAAATTATGTAAAGACAAAATCTGACTTTGAGTTTCAACAATCGTCAAAAAATTAAAAATTCTAATATTATTAATATGTTAAACAGAAAAAAAAATCTCAAACAGTATAGGTATCAACATTATTAATTGGAAATTGTAAATACGCCGTAGGTACAATCACCTAAACTCAAATGTTTAACGCAGGTAGTTATATAATAAACATACCTATAAGTTTAATAATAGTATTAATTGAATAATAAAACACCAAATATAAAGGAAATAATTCTTAAGAGCATTTAGTATAAATCATTCCTGTATAACTCTAAACTCGTATTCCTTCAAACATGTGTCATAATATAAAAATTACGTGAAATCATAAAAAAGTATACATTTGAGTACATACTAGCAATAATATAATATATAAGTATAAGTGTATAACATACACTATACAGTATCAGTATGTAAATTAAATGAAATTCAAATGTATAAATAACGTGGGTTAAAATGAGTGTTTTTTTTTTTTTTTGTAAAATCATGTATTTTTAACTTGAACAGTTGAACTTTTATATTTTAACCAGTGTAGACAGGCTTTTACAATTAAAGTACCTCCTTTATATTATGTATAAGCAGTTACCAGTGTTGGGCCAAATCTATTATTAACTAACGATTAAAGTTTATAAGGATTATATTATCTACAATTTTAATTCTATAAATTTATTCAAATTGTCAATACTATATGGATCAATATATGATTATATTATTTATACTAATACAAATTTTTAATGTATTTAAATGTTTACAATTAAAAAAAGTGGATTCCTCTCTACTGTAGGTACAATAGTTTACAATGTAATGTATGGTGTTAAATTTGAATTCGATAGTAGGTATATAATATCATTGTATGTGAAAAACGATTCTGAACAGACAATCAGCCTATATTATAATATTTTTAAATCGTTATTCTTCGTTTGAATATCTATTTCAACCAAATTTAAACGTATTAAATAACAATAAAAAAAAACTGTTTATATATTTTTTTCTGACAAGTATGAACTACTTATGAAATACCTTGTTTTAGGCACCCCCTCCTAGCTGCTCTAACATGCCTAATAAACAAAATCCCACTCTTCATCCCTCCCACTCTAAATAATTAACACGCATCACACAAATATGTAAATAAAAAAAAAAGATTTTTCTTTTCTCTCTCTGCAATCGTTCGTATTGTAAAATTGTTCCACTTTAATACTTAGTTCTTACTATTTATACCATATTTTGTGATCCAATTTTCAAATGTTAAAAAATTTAACTTTATATACATAAGTTTAGATGATGACTGTCAGGAAAACTTTAAAAAATAAAAAAAAAAACCTTGTTTTAAATTTTCAATCTTTAGCTGTCATTTACTGAAAATTGCATTATCTTGTAACTAGCCACTAGGTACACAGAGTATGTAATTTGCAATTTTCAAGATTTTGACGAGTCTTGCAAAATGTTAAACTGCTATTATATAGAAACTTACAAGTAACCTATTATATTAAATAGTTAATCTTCTTGACAAAATAAAAAATCTAAAAAAAAAAAAAAATGTCTATAAATATTAAATAGCACAAAACGAGTCAAAATATTTTGAAATTGTTATATCTAATATTAAATAGAAAATGAATAAAATAAACATCTGGCAAAATAACAATATTCGTTTTTAAATTATAACAAAAAAAAATCATCGGTGAAAATTCATTAATTGTAGCTGAAAGTTTGCAGTGGGTCGAAAAAATTTAAATCACAAAAATAATAATTATTGTGGATTTGCGCTCAACTTTTTTGTTAATTTCTATTAACAATAAATTGAGGAACATTTTATTACATTTCTAAGTACTTTGACAAAGCTAACATTTTTATCGACCACAATTAAATCAAACTAATAGTAATCGAATTTTTTTTATGCTTATAAATATCTCAAAAAGAGTTACACACATTGTAAAATCAATACATTCATTGCTCCTCTCAGAATCTAAAATCAAAACTAAACAAAATTAATTATGGACTATGATTGTAATTTTAATTAAGAAGTATTACTCATTCTACTCTTTTTTTGTAATATTTTATCATTTTAATTATTTATTTGTATTCACAAATTAGACGATTAAATATTTATTGTATCGCATAAATTTAAAATATTATATGTAGATTTATTAATCTTAAACAATTTCAATCATAGTTTTTTTGCCCAAAGCTGAGTGGTCTTAGGGGACTTATAGGGCCTTTCTTGCAATGTCCGGTAAAGTGTCGGTTAACACTAACAGACTGATAACAGATCTTATTACTGGCAGAATTCGGTCAGTTAACTTTAACCGGACATTGTAAGGAAGGCCCTAAGTCTCTGTCAATGACTTTATTTTAAAAGAAAATTTACTGAGTAATAACAACCCACATTTATTATAATATTGTTGTGATTTTTTAGTTCAGCTCAATTAAAAATAAAAAAACTAAAATGTTGTTTACATGGTACTTTAAACTCTGAAACAACCAACTATAAGAGTTAGCCCTTAGGGATAATTTAGAATTTATATAATAATTTTAAAAGATAAATTATTTATTTCCATTAAATATCTGCTTATTATATATGAACTAGTTACATCTTGCAGAATGTAAAGCAAATAAAGGAGTAGGTATACTATAATAAGAGTAGGAATTAAAATTGTAATTGTAATGTAATGTTAAATAATAAATATAGGTACTCCAATATATTGGATAAGAAAATAACTTATACATAAAATATTATAGTAAATTAAATACCTAGGTAAATAAATACTGAGCAAAACAATGAATTATAAATAATAAAAAAAATGTTTTAATTAATAAATTTTAGTTATTTTGTTCATATACAATATTAATTTTAAAATTTGTCTTATTTGTTATATCTTATTCTATGGTTTGGTAATACAAAATGTATATTAACTATAAGTGCACTTGTTTTTTAAAGTTAAAAATACTCAATCAATATAAATAATCATAAAGTATTAACAATTTGTTTTAAATTTTTATAAAATTTGTTTAAAAATTTAAAATAATGTTTTTACAATAATGCAAGTGACATAATATACAAAATATATAAATTAAAAAGTTAAACAATTACTAAATTAAATATTATAATACTCATTAACACATAATATTACAGTATAATTTTTACATACTTATAATTAAAAAAATATAATATCATCACTTTTTAAGTTTTTCATTGCCTTGCGTTGTTCTTCAATGGCTTTTCTTCTAGCAGCGTCATATTTTGAATTTAAGACCACTGGTTTTTTTGGTTTTGTTTTTACTTTAATAGTTTTGATAAGTTTTTCCTTGTTTTGGTCTTCGTCATCAGGCCAACCTTTATTACTTATATCAATAATTTCTAGCATTTCAGTTTTCACCTGTTCGACTTGTATTTTGACCATATCCCAAAACCCTTCTAAATCATTGTTTTTGGGTCTGGATACATCATTAAGTGCACAGGATATATTACTCTCGCATAAACCAAGGAATTGTTGAATTTTTTTGGACATTAACAGATTTGATTTACCAACGATAGCTTGGATACGAGCCTGGCCATTTTCAGGAGCAGTTGGTAACAAGCATTCTACCTGTGATATTAATTTTCTTATTGTATCACATTCTAAGTTAACTAATTTAATAAAGTAGTGGCCGCCATTAACTTCTACATCACTACCATTTGTAATTCGTGAGGGTTTTATTTTTGGGGGTGGTGTATTATGATTTATTACTAATTTTGCCCGGAATTGGGGGTTGAGCAATTTCAAGACAGGCAAATCATGTCTGTCAGGTGTATGTTCTCTATGTATTACAGTTGATTTAGGAATGTTGTTCAATCTTTTTTCCTTAGGTGACACTTTAACACTAGAACCGTACAGTCTTTGAATTGTGTTTACAACTACTGAGTTGGGTGATTCAGTCCTATAATCAACTGTATCAGTAATTGAACATTTTGTCATAATATGTTGGTCTTCCATGTTACTATTAACTGTACGTACATTGATAGGACTACAATCCCTAGAGCGACTTTCGCGTTTCTTGCTATCGTACTGTGTCAATGATGATGTATAACCATTTATAGATCTAGATATGTTGACATATGATGGAGACTTTACCTTGTAAGGTGGTTTTTTGCAAGTTCGGATAGAATCGTCAATATAGCGGTCATCTGTTGCGTCTCTGGTAGTCATCACTGTCAAGATAGCACACTGGTTTAATCACTTGATCAACTCCATCATTCCTGTTGAATTCACACAATTAAAATATCTTAGAAAAAATGTATTTTCTGATACTTAAAATAATTGATAAATAAGATAGCCAGGTACTATATAATAATATTGTTAAATTGCAGGGATCGACAACCTTATACAACAAGTGAGCTGCATTAAAAATAATATCGAGTGATCGACCACTTTTTAATGAGGTAGGTATATTATTTATATTATTACATACAGCATAATAATAAATTATACATCTAAAAATATTCTTCTTTTATTATTTATCCATCAGAAAATTGTACGTTTTTCATTGCTAATTAATACTTTACTTTGTATATTAGGTATAATGTTTAAGATTAGGCACAAGTTTAACTGATATTGGAATAATTAATCTTTAATACGATCAACTCTTGTCTAGAGGAACGATAAGTTACTGAAAAGCTAAATAGAACAAAACAAGATCATCCAAAGAATGATAAAAATATTGCAAGAAATAGAACCTACAAATGTAAAATAAAATAAAATTTAATCCTTACAACCCTACATGAATGTATGAGTACAACAAATTTTATGATTTTATTAAATTAACTGAAAGGTACTATTGGTAGGTAAGTAGTCAAGTATTATGCTTAGGTACTTAATATTAGTGCTGTCCACTTAAGATAATTTTAAACAAATATTTTATAGAAAATGATTTGTTTGTATATTTATGTTTATTTATTTGATTTATTAATCATACAATATTGAAGTACTATATTAAAAGATACTTATTAAATGGTTTTTATGAACAAAATACAAATGTATCAGAAGAACTTACGTTGAAATATTCTGTGTATAGTCTGGTATCTTTATTTTTTTCAAGTTAACTTGGTAGGTACTTCTAAAAATAATAATATGAAATGGAAGAAAAACAACTAGGTATTTTCTTTTCATAAAACTTGAAAGTTATCTTGACAAACTAAATAACAATTAATAATTATACTATTACAGTTGACAGTAGGTAATTTTTAAATCCTTTGAAAGAGATTTCAATAAAATTATATACTTGAAACTATATTGCTCTAATAGAGATAGCATTCAGAGCACTCTCTTTTTAAACAATTGGGTAAAACAAAAATAAATAAAAACCAACTACAAGGATAACATTACCTATAATAAAATGTTCAAATAATTTGCTTTGGTTATGTTTAAAAAGTTTTAAAAAAATGTCTCATTACATCATGGCAAATAAGACAACTAGTGTTTAGGTACATGAAAAATATGATTACAATATTCGGTGAAGTGTCCGTTATAATTAACAAGATATGATAAGTACGGCCATAAGATAAACAAATGTCACTTAAATTGTATTAGATTTATATTAATTTCTGTGTTATTCTTTTATTATTTAATGAACCTAACAACAAAGATACATAATTTTCAAAATTTATAACACTTTATAGTTTTCAAAATGTATTGACCAAATTATTATTTATATTTACCACCTATTTTGTTTAAAAATTATAATTTTAGTTTATAAACAATACAAATGTCATATAGATACCTAACACACCTTGCCACAATGTAACTTTGAGAAGCTTTTTAATAATATATCATAGTATATATAGACTATATAGTATATAGCATACCTTACAATATTATGTACCCAATGATAATAGCCAATAGGTATCACCCATAGATATTTATGTTTATTTTATTTATGTGGTAGTAAATAATAAATATAAAAACTTTTACAGTATATATGACTTATGTTGAATCCGAGGTGAAATCTGAAAGCAAACCTAACCTTAAGAAAAAGTTAAGCCTTTCATTTTGTTTTACACCAACAAAACCAAATTAAAATAGCCCAAAAACTATGTATTAGGTATAGAATTTAGTACATTCTTGTGAGAATTCAAACAACAATAACGGTGCATAGGACAATTGACAAACATTACCTATATAGCGATGAGCGTACAGACCGAGGAGTAGACTGTCCGTGTTGAAAATTTAGCATTGGACAGGGTGAAATATTTTTCGACCAAACACAATACCTAACAGGTAACTATAATACAACCTACTATATACATTACAAAACACATAACGTGCATAATGTGTGGGAAGGAGTCAGTGGACCGTGAAAGTTGGCTTTGTTGACAAAACACACAACACACCCCAAGGGGCATCATTACCTTGGAGCCCACAGTCAGTGAGTTGCAGTGTTGGACAGCAACGGTCGCAATAGTAACTGCACAGAGCACATACAATAGACGACGCGCCACCGGGAAATTGATTAAGTAAAAGTCTCCCTCGAGGCGATAATCGACAGGAACGATCTATTATTATTACGAGACACGAGTAGGTACAATGATTTGTGTGCACTGTGGCAGCGGCTAATATAGAAACTTAACTATTATGTACGTAAATTAGACTGTCGCATGTGTGGTGCGTGTGTGTGTGTGTGTATGTGTAGGTAGGTGGGTAACAATATTCGAACGGTTATTATTATTGTAATATTTTGGAAGGAGTACCTAGGTCGGAATGAAAAAATAAATAGGTACGAAAGTGAAATGGGGCGACAGTGGACCCAAGTCGAGTCCACAGCCTAGAAAGTTGAAACGATTAATCTTAAACGCACTTACTTACTTGCTCGGCGATGACGAACACGGCTTTTCCCCGAAACTTCTAATGTTTATATTATTTCAGTCGGCCAGTATTTGGTCTTGGTGTGTGATAAGTAGAAGACCGACTTCTATTCGCCAACTATTTCTGTACGACGGACGATAGTCGACGAGTGACAACGACGACGATGCTGAAACGAGTCGTGAACGGTGACTGGCGAGTCACGATTTTGCGAATCGGTACAGTCCGATAATAAATAATAATAATATTATCGTTATTCAAACATTTAAATTTGCGGCGATGACGGCAACGACTTATCGTCAATCGTCATCGTCATCATTATTATTATTATTATTATTATTATCGCTACCGATTTAATTATTGTGATTGTTATATACTTGTGTCTTGTATTTTATTTTAAAAGACACCTTAAATATAACCTAAAATAGATAATACGAAATTCCTACACAATCATACCTAGTGGCTAGTTGAGTTCATCGGTACTCTCTGTGCTACAATACGGTATACGGACAATTGGTCCCCGCATAAAAATTACGTTTGCGGACAATCGGTCCCCGTCATAATTTTATCCCTCTCCAATATTTTTCCTAAAGACAATCAGCATATTTTTTTAGTAACATTTTATTATAACACTACCAGCATTAAAATACTAACTAATAACTATGCTAAAAAAATATTTTGTATTTTAACTTTTAAGCCAGTAACCAATTGTGTATAAAATGAATACGGGGGGCAGGTCGGGGGCCAATTGTCCGAATGTGGTGTTTTTTCGCGGGGACCAATTGTCTTAGATCCATCTACAAGTTACAACTACCATGGTCTTGATGTTTCGACTGTTTCGAGGTTATGTCGTTTCCGTTCAGGGCCGACCATCACGTTCGCAGACGTAATCTAGATCTAACTCCAACTTACTGGCTACTTTATTTTTCCCAAATACTGTTATTTTGTATTATATTATATTCTGTGATTTCCCTCTAGTCACAACAAATATTATATTATTATTAACTACCTGTAGGCCGTGGTACTCACCATAGTCATTACTCCGTACTCGGTGCCGTAGTGTAGTCCCAAAGTCTCAACAAAGTACAAATCACGACCGTCGAGGGTCTGTTATCACTATAATATTGCCATAATAGGTATTCTGTTTTTTTACATTTTATCCGTCGTGCAGTCCATGCTCTTATCAAGACGTATCAACGACGTCGTATCTGGCCGGTCAGACCCCGGTTACTTACTCCGTGCCCCGTGGCTCCGGTAGTCGCCAGTGCATCACGATCACATGGTGCGGTACAGTCTCCACTCTCAAGTCACTAAAAGTACGTCTTGTTTATGGTTCGCCTACTACTCGATCCTGCTGTAAGACATTGTGTTATTCCACTGCTTTCTAACTATTTATTTATCACCCGATTTTGCAGCCGAGAATGGACAAAACCGTCGCATCGGCGGTTCATAAGAACGCCAACGGCGCCAACAATTGGATAAAGTTCACAAACGCTCCACCTCCGCCCGCCAGTAATTTGAACAATGCCGTCGTACAGGTAATTTAATCCGAGCATCTATGGTTGCAACCCGATGAGTTTAGTTGACTTTCTGTGTACTTAGTACCAATCTATTCTCCGCTTTTGTTTGTGTTTCAGAGGCAGGAAAAAAAAGATATTGAAGTTGTAGCGATTGACTGCGAAATGGTCGGAATACATCCCGATGGACAGGGAAATATGTTGGCTCGTGTTTCAATTGTTAACTCCAAAGGTGAAACCATTTACGATAAGTTTGTCAAGCCCACAGCGACAGTGACAGATTATCGTACGCCGGTGAGCGGCATTCGACCTGAAGATATTGAACACGGGGAGGTATTTGTCAAAGTTAAAAAAGAAGTCACCCAAATACTCAAAAACAAATTATTAGTAGGTCATGCACTAGAACATGACTTGAGGGTATTGAGGATTTCACACCCCAAACATATGATTAGAGACACCTCAACATACTGGCAATTCAAGCAATTGACAGAAGGTCGAACGCCAGGTCTAAAACGATTGACATTACATTTTCTTGGAGCTAGCATACAGGAAGGAGAACACAGTTCTGTTCAAGATGCCAAGGCAGCACTACAGTTGTACATGCTGGCTCGAAAAGATTGGGAATTATTGTTAAAAAAGAGAAGAAGCCGCCCCAGAAATGGGAATAAACCACATAACGGATCGCAGGGAAAGCATAAAAAGTAGTTTTTTTTTTTACACTAAAATTTTTAAATTTAAAGTTTTATTTTGAATAATTGTAAGACTGTTTTTGAGATTATTTTACTTGTAAAAATATTTAAATTGTCGTTTGATACATTTTGTTGGTTAAGTATA